CAATGTAAGTACTGTACTTTAATTCTTATCAAAAAAGGAACCATCCTCTGGTGAAAGGTAAGAGCTTAATCCCTTCTCAGAGCACCTAAAACATGACACTGGTTCCCTATGCCTTGGATTCTGTTGGCTAAGACCAAAGGGCTAATAATAATAACAACAACAACAACAACATTTATTCATACCCCACCCCTCTGTCAACCAATCGGGGCAGCTTACAACAATTTAAAATTCCATACAAGATAATTCATCTTAAAATACAATCTAAAAATCCCCAAGATGTGTTAAACTAATTACAGTGGATCAAGACCTGCCAAAATGCTGCACAACTGTTTAAATTGTTTGCATTCTCAATAACTCTTCATCAGCCTAAGTAGTACCCAAAAAAGGAGGGAGGGGAATAAGAAAGAAACAGAAATGCCCCCATCACCCGAGAATGCACTCTGGAGAATTAGAAAGGTTGCACAGTTCTTTGGGATTATGGTTGCGCCTAATAAAAGTACAGTGGGCCCTTCGGATCTGCTGGGGTTTGGTTCCAGGACCCCCCTGTGGAGAACAATCCACGGATGCTCAAGTCCCATTAAATACAGTAGCATAATAAAATGCTGTCCCTTATATAAAACGGCAAAATCAAAGTTTGCTTTTTAGAATGTATACATTTTAAAGATATTTTCAATCTGTGAATGGTTGAATGAGTAGATGAAACATCTGTGGATCTGGAGGGCCAACAGTACTGCCCTACTAAAGGTATCCTATGGATCAGCATGGCTACCTTTTGTTTATAATAATGAATATCTGACATAATCTAGCCTCCTCAGCATGTCAGAGCTACAAGACACCCCTCCATCTTCTAGCACTTAATCATAGTATGATAAACTGAAAGCAGAATGCCTTGCTTAGCTAGATTAAGCAGCTGTTTGTTTCTCTGTGCTGTGGATTGAGCCATTAAGTATCTGTGCTCCTTGGCGTAGAATGCTCTAAGCAAGGTTACCTTTGAAGCTTCATCTAGCTTTGAGCATGGTTGCTTAGTTACTGGAGTGCCAGCTATAGCAGCACTGCTCCACTGATCTACATTGCTTTCTAGTGTATTGTGAAGATAATTAAAATGTCTGAGCAGAGCAAACTGTTTGGACCCAAGTTGAAATATTTATTTCTTGATGGGTGTCTTGAAAGCATTGTGTAGCTGGGTTCAAAATTCAGGCTGTTGCTTGTACAGGACATGTGAGTCTTTATAGAGAGTAGTCTTACACATTTGCACCCAGACTAAATTGTTGAGACTCCTGATGCATTATATTTCAAGACTACTGATGCAATAATTCTTTCACTGCAGAATATTTTAATAGGCATATCCAGTTACTTCAAGCTTTCCACTTAATTACCGTGGCCAGTAAATTGACCTATTCTTGATAAACTTATTTAATTCTTTTCAAAAGTCATTGTAGCAAGTGCCCATCACCCATGGAGTTAACTAGTACACCTTTGCTGATAAACTGGAGTTTGGCTAGTAATAATATTACAATGCAGTTATGAGCACACCTGTGAGGGAGTAAACTTGAATGTGCTCAAGAATTTCTCCTGAATAAACATGTTTAGGATTACACTGTCCGTTTATTAATATCTGAGTGAGCGGTTGCTAGGATGTTAAATAATTGATATTGGTAAAGGGTTACTAACAGAGTACTCCTCAGTGAGGTGAAGAGAAGTGAAGTGGTGGCTTGTTCAAGCACTCCTAACATGCTCCAGCTGGGGAGAGAAGTAGAGGATTTTTTCTCTCAGCAATGGTTATTCTTTAAAATCCTAACACCGCTGATTTCGGTAGGAGGGAAATTAATTACTCGGATGATCTTGGGTTTTATGCAGAAGTGAGGAGGCTTTGAATACACAAAATCTAAGGTGGCCCTGGAATGCCCTGTCTTACTGTCTTAAGACATACCATTAGTGACACTTAACACAAGCTTTCTGCAAGTATGTTG